GTGTGCTTGAATGCTTGAATTTTGCTGGGATTTGGTTGTTGAATGTGCTTGAATGCTTGAGTTTTGTTGAATGTGCTTGAATTTTGCTGGGATTTAGTTGTTGGGAAATAGATTTAGTGGGAAGGGTAAATTTGTAATTTTACTGTTTAAACCAATTTGGGTGTAAAAATGAGTGTCGGTTCATGGGTGTACATATCGCTGTCCATATTTATATATATATTTAAAGATAAATAGGGTGTGGTTATGTTTGCCCACAATAGTATTCAAACTATTGAAATTTTGTTTTTTTTTTAATTGATATTTTATTAATTTATAATTCTTTATAACTAGTCAATTATAATATCTACAAATATTATTTTATAAATTGATTTTAATTATTAAGTAATAAATATTAATTATTTTATTAACCACTTTTAATAATTAAATTAAACATGATCAGTATTTTTAAAATCAATGTAATATGGCCTTAACATTATTATGAGTGACTATAATTACACCTAGATGTATAAAAAGTAATATACTTACAATATTAAATGATATTATAAATTTATAATTCTCATGTTTCATTATGTTATATATAGTACTAATTGACTTTTGAAATTTAATAACTTAATTATAATATTATATATTTATTTAATAATAAAATAATATTATAAACTTACCATTCTTTACTACATATGAACTATAATTATCGAAAATATATATAGGATTATATATAGGAGCGTAAGCCCGAATTTAAGCCCAAAAATAAGCCTCTAGATTTTAAGGCAAGAAATCTAGGATATACACGTGTAGTGAGAGTTTAATATTGTAAATTAAAACATCACTCTTTGACTTCTAATTTCTAGATTCATTAGTACTCTCTGTTTCTGGGATTTTGGTATGTTTAACTTCCAATGGACACCTCACCAGGCCTTCGAACACACAGAATCGCCGAGTTAGACTTCAACAAGGAATGCCCAGCCAACAAGACTGTGGTAAGGCCGGTTACTCTCTGTTTCTAAATATACGCAGTTTCGGTTTTTTTAGGTGTTGTTGTTGTTGTTGTTGTTGTTTTTTTTTTTTTTCTTCTTTTTGTGTACTCCTATGCTTTTTTCATAGATTGCTAAGCAATATTTTTTTTATAATATATAAATAATAATTGAGATTTTATTTTACATAATTTTTGTTAAGTAATTTTATTTGATTAAGAAAATTTTAATTATTATTTATATAAAATATATAAAAGTACCACTTAAAATTTGGTATAAAAAGTCATATAATTTGCTTTTTGAAACAGAGTGAGTGATCTCTATATAGTAAGAGCATAAAATAGCAATAATATATACTGTCATTTAAGATTGTAAACATGCATACGATTATCATATGTTATTAAATAAATAAACATATATAATATTATAAATAAATCTAAATAAAAAAATTAATTATATAATGACGCGATATAATTATAAATTTACAATGCAAACTTGGTTTTCTAAATATATCATTTTCAAATTAAAGATTCACATTACCAGTCTTAATGAATATTTATGCAATCAAAGACGCAACAAAAGCACAAAACGAATATAATTTTGGGTAATGATATGAAAATAATATTTTGTATAATTTTTTTAATTATTTTTATATTTTATTAAATGAATAGATCGATACATACAATATCATAGATTTTAATAAAATAAAAAACAATAATAATTAAATAACATTTAAAATCAAATAAAAAAATTATACAAAAAATTTATCTCTCAATTGTTTTCCTATAATCTATGATGCAAATGGTTATATCACCAACCAGAAAGTATATGACAACTAATCCTAGAAGGTAATAAGCCACTTAGCTAGATACTAGATTACACTAATTAATGGGAAGAACTACTGAAGGATGGAGGTTCAAACCGTTAAGCTGGAAGGAAGCCACACCATCTTGTCCAATTGCAATCCTTCCGGACCCAAATTAAAGCATCCAAAATTGGACCAATATTTACACCAATCAAAAATCACAACCCGACGTAGCTAGCTAGGCAGGCTGCGCAAAGTGACACCAAACCACATAGCTAGCACACCACGAAGTCTCACAAGGCGGTACTAAGCCACACTAAGCGGTACAAGGAAGCGCCAAGCCGATGAGGCTGTGCCAAATTAAACCCCATTGAAGAAGCGATGCACTAGGGTTTGACAACTTTTAATTTTTAGTTTATTGAGATAAGATCTCATGTCTCGGCCAAGAAAAATATAGGATCTCATTAAACTAGATATCAATTATTATAACTTAAGTATTGATTTTGTTTAAAAAATATCAGTTGGTAAGAGTTGTGTTTAATTTAACTAATTTTATCTATTTAATTTTTTTAAACAATTAATTAAGATATTTAAAAACAATCCATAAATTAATATTCAGATGTACGAAGAACATAGGAGCTCTGCTTAGTAGAAATTGTATGAAAAAGTGTAAAAAGATTCCATATCAGTACGCTATATCGCTGAAGAATCGTTTCTTGTTCCTCAAGTTTTTGGCAAAATAACTTGGTATATTGAATCCTCGTTTTCTTTTCCAAGACATTGGCAACCTAAAAATCTTTACCTTAATACCCTGCAAAGTGCAAATTATAGTAAGCATTCTTTTTCCATTCCCCAATCCCCACTATTAATGTTTTCGAAAAGACGTGCGGGGCGCCACTGTCACTCGGTTTGGCCCTGTAAAAGAGTTGAAAAAACAAAAATGTATTTACCATTTAGCTTGGCATTTAACAATTAACGTTAAATTGTGGCAAAATCAAAATAAAAAAGGACACGGGCCGGGGTGCTACAGAGAACCAATGGAACTTTAATTGGGTCATGTTTGTTCATGTTACATGAACATCTCAAGCTATAACAACATTTTCCTACATGTTTAGTATTCATTTTTTAATCATTTTATATCTCATGTAGATTTCAAATTTAGATTAATGAGTTTTAATGGATTTTGTCAAAGTAGAACTTGGTCTCTAATACAATATAAAAAATTTATAGAGATATATATATAAACAAAAAAAATATTTAATTTAAAATTAATTAACAATAAATAAAATAACTCATATTATATTACTTAAAACTTTGTTATTCTTAATGTGAAATTTCACCACTTGCTAATGGACACCGTAAGAAGAAAAGTGGGAAAGACACACTGGACCAAAAGTCGATTTTCTTGTTGGGAGTGAAATCTTTGGCAGCCTGAAATTACGCTCCTAGACTCAAGACTCCCCACGTTGCGTAATTTATCGACCAATTCCTATAGTTTTTTAAGGGATATGGTCCCTTTTTTTCTGGGCGTCTAAAGGATATGGTTCTTAAATTTTTAATTTTAAGTAAAAAAGTCTTTAAATTTTGAGAAAAAGATAATTAAAATAATGGGTACTGTTTCATGGACCATTGACACATGGGGAAATCGTAAGATGAACGATCAACACCATCAATGTGGTGTGAGACCTATAGCACTAATGGCTGTGATCTTTTCGTTCTATTTTTTTCTCTTATATTTTTGTCTCGTTTATCATTTTCCCAAAATAATTCTTAAACATAATCTTTTTGGTATTTTTTAG